GCGAGGATATTACATTGTTTTAACGGAAGCAAGCAAGTGAAGCAGGAAATCAAGGGTTAGCCAGCTGCATTGTCGCTTGATGCGTAAGTGTGTATATTGTGGCGGTGCGTATTTTTCGAGCACACTGCACTTTCGTGTGAACGACGTGCCATTATAAGGCGCGCAAGCCAAAGCGCGGAACTTTAATCCACCAAAACCAACCTACTCCCAACTCAAGGCTTTCCCACGGAACCACCAAATAAGGTATTACTTTCTGGGAGTGACAAGATATTTTGAGACTGACACCTATTCTGCTGTAGATGTCTTAGAATTGTCGTAAAGGAAGCTACCGCTTCGCGAACAGACGACTTTGTTCATGAATGGAGGGTATTTGGGTGCAGCCTATGAAAGGAAAATGCTTCGAAAATATTACTTGCCGAGTTTTTGAAGATTGAGCTATCAAACACATGTAACAAAATATAAAAGTGATCGGCAAGAGCTCTATGCTGTAAAAGTGTTGGATTACACATGTCATTATACGAACAGATGATATGGAATTGCCCATGACTGAGAAGAAGAAGCACACCAGCATTTTTGGTCTCCCTACACTCGTGCTTTCAAACCATGGTAAGTGTGATCTGATTGTTCTGTATATCTTTGAGGTTATGTGCTTTGTGTTCAAGGATCGCTTGTTCTTCATTATGATAGTGATATTATGTCACGTGCAGATCTATGGCCGTCTCAAGGAATCTGTAGCTGTGTAAGAATTCTGAGGTAGAGCTTGCCCTCCTTGTATTGAAGAACGTGATTCCAACAGAACTTTCTATGGTACGAATATCTACAGAGATAAGCTCCAAGTATTACACTTATAATTAAAATAACTGTACATTTCATTACAGATACCAAACTATGAACCCTATAACCACACCGCCGATTGGTGGTCTTGGGGTGTTCTGATTTACGAAATGTTGACGGGCCAAAATCCTTTCGAGGGTGTGGATGATGAGAACACGTTCAAAAATATTAAAGATAAGAAAAATGTCTTTCCGAAACACTTCTCTCAAGAGGTTATGGATGGGCTAACTAGCGTGAGTAATTTTAGAAGAAGAARAACTCGTTGACGACAGTGTCTTGTGCTTTGAAGTTCCTTGCTAAGAAGCCAAACAATCGTTTATGTGCCGGACGCTATGCACGCTCTGAGGTAACCATATATCCATTCTTTAGGAATATTGACTGGAAGCTAAGGAAACGGAGCCACCTATTGTGCCAAAAATTGTAAACGCTGAGCTAAAGGCTTAACAGTCGTTATCAGTAAGTGATAATATCGAATTTCGATAAAGCTTTCATAACTGAGAAA